CGTACGATGACGATGCATGTCTGAAGAGTAGTACTCGACCTCGCCAAGAGTAGTACTCGACCTCGCCAAGAGTACTCTGTAGACCAGGACGAACACCTGGAACCACCGGAGTGTAAGCTGAATTCAGGGCCGATAATCCAACAAGGGTCTTCCCCCCCCGGGTAGGGTGAACTAGAGTCTGATCAACAGTACGACCAATGGGGTTCAGTACTGAGGTATCTCCAATCCGTATATCCCTCCTCTCATACGAGGAAAACGAGGATGTGTCATCCTCCTCAGCCACATCGTCCCCCCCACTCTCATAACTATCCTCTGCTGAATCCTCTCCCTCAAAATCATCATCATCATCGTCTACGTTGGCTGACTCACCAACTGGGCCAAACGTAGGATGTACATTTTTCACTTTCTTTAACTTTTTTTCTTTTTCTGCTCGATGTTCGGCATACAGATTGCGCGTAACTGCATGCCGATGCCCAGATCCCTGAAGAGGCGATATCCCATCCTACAACAGTTTCAAATTTTACACGTAACTTAGATTAATTAGTTTAATACAGTTTTATATTATTCAAATATGTAATTATAATATTATCTACTCTACATCTAAAGTGTTCAATTTATTAATAATATCTACATATTTATTTTTTCTTACAACTACATAAATATTTCTTATTAACCCTAATTATCTACTAACCTCCTGTATTTTTTTAATTATAACTTATTTATTTAATTTTCCTATACTAAATATTTAATTTTTTAGCCTAATTATATTAATTATACCGACTAATCCAATAAATATATTTTCTATAATTATATTAATTATAATAACTTTCATAATAATCCAATTTAATTTACAAACCGTTAAACTCCCTAAAAATACAATTAAATTCCTAAAACTATAAAAGTATTATAACTATTCTATTTACTGAAGATTAAACCTATACTAAATTAAAACTACAATTGAATTCCAAAATAAATTAAACTAATAAAAATAACTAATTAATTTCACTAATAACAAATAATTAAACTAAATTTCATAAGACAAACATTTACTAATAGTAACAATTAAATAATAATTAAATAATTAAATATAAATATAAATATAAATTAATTAACAAAAAAAAAAAAAGCCCAGCCGTAGCCGTTTTTCTCGCCAGGCTCAACCGGCCTGGCGAGAATATTCTTCGCCACCCCATCATCCGGTGGCGAAGAAACCGGCGCCTCAGCTGCCCGGCCGGCGAGGAGAACCGCCGGGGCAAGCAGCCGGCGCCCGGATCTGCGCCAGCTCTGTAAGGGTGGCGAAGATTTTGCGCCACCCCTCACAGAGCCGGGCGCAGATCCGTGCGCCAGCTCTGTTGCCCGGCGCGGTTCTCCTCGCCGCCGGGCAAATGGAGTTTTTTTTTTTTTTTTTCAAAATAAACTTTAAAACAATTCAAATTCAAATTTACGTACCTTTAGTTTGCGTAGCTCATTTCGTAGCCGTTTAATTCGATCCCCCATTAAATTAAAGATTTTTAAGTATTTAGATTGAGAGAATTTGAAATGAAAGATTGATTTAGGAATTGAAAGAATGAAATTAAAACTCTTTATTTATAAATTCATGTAAAGGGCAAAATGGTCATTTGGTATTTATTTAGGGCGTTGAAGGGAGATTTTTAGGGCGTTTAACAGCCTGCAAGAAAAAAAAAACCGGCCAGCGCCGGTTTTTCTCGCCAGGCTCAACCGGCCTGGCGAGAATATTCTTCGCCACCCCATCTTCCGGTGGCGAAGAAACCGGCGCCTCAACTGCCCCGGCCGGCGAGGAGAACGCGGCGGGGCAAGCAGCTGGCGCCCGGATCTGCGCCCGGCTCTGTAAGGGGTGGCGAAGATTTTGCGCCACCCCTCACAGAGCCGGCGCAGATCTGTGCGCCCGGCTCTGTTTGCCCTGCGCGGTTCTCCTCGCCCGGGCAAAGGAGTTTTTTTTTTTTTTTTCAAAATAAACTTTAAAACAATTCAAATTCAAATTTATGTACCTTTAGTTTGCGTAGCTCATTTCGTAGCCGTTTAATTCGATCCCCCATTAAATTAAAGATTTTTAGGTATTTAGATTGAGAGAATTTGAAATGAAAGATTGATTTAGGAATTGAAAGAATGAAATTGAAACTCTTTATTTATAAATTCATGTAAAGGGCAAAATGGTCATTTGGTATTTATTTAGGGCGTTGAAGGGAGATTTTTAGGGCGTTTAACAGCCTGCCAGTAAATTTTGCTCAGATTGCAGTTATTCCATAATTGGTTAAAGGATAGAGTTGTTACTTCGTTAATTTTAATCAACATGCTAAATTCAAAAAAAACTTGACCGGAGAATTTATAGTAGTAGCTGAGAAATAATTTTGCAACCACATAAATATGGGTTGGAATGCCTCGAAACAAAAAATAAAAATAGATGAACTCCTGCATTGATATTTGTTCTTATTTTTTCGTACTTTTTGAATTTTTGTAATGTACGTTGAATTAAAGCCTATATTGGGAGAGGGAGAGGGAGAGGTCATGTCTGACCTGAAAAAGGGGCAAGTTCAGAATAAACACCACATTTTGTCTTATCCTAATTTTTGTTTTGACAATAGCAACTCCCATTACTTTATTATGTACCAATTTTTTATCATATTTTTTTGATGAAGTTTTTTCTTAAATTATAAACTTCAATATTCATATGCAATTTTATAATCATTTCAAAATTACAAACTTGATTGAATTTGAATTCAAACTACATAATTTATGTATTTCATGTCATGCATTAAGTTTGAACTTGAATTTAAAATTGTTGAACTTTGAACAAACTCGGTCGATCTAGTAAAAGTATAATGTAAATTTATATAAATTGAGTTAACACAAATATTTATTGAGCTTTGAAAAATTCAATTTTAAAGCTTTATATCTTATATTCAAAAAATAAAATGTAACAATAAAAAATGATACATAAACCCGACTGATGTACTAAACAATAGTATTGCAATGATTATACCAAACACTCAAGGTTATCACAGGAAAATGATATGTAATAGTGGAAAAAAATTAGTGAAAAATGATAGTGAGTGATGTCGAATATTCGTGGCCTCTAGTTTTTTGCTATTTTCTCGTTAAAATTTTATTTTTTTAAAAAAAATATTTTTACCCTTAATTAATTAGTGCACATTAGTGAAGATGGTATATTTATCTTTTCATTAGTCATTATTCCGTTTCACTAAAATTTGTCACTGTCTTTATCATTGCTCATTTATCCTCCTATTTTACCCAAAATCATATATATATATATATATTGTACATATTTAAATTAAAAATATATTTTCACATTTATTATATTCTTTAATTTATTATTAAGTTTATTTTTAAAATTTTATTTTTAATTAAAAAAATACCGTAAATAAAATTTATTATAAATTAAAATATTTTATAATAAGTACCAAAGGAATACTTCGCGTACGTTTGAAGTTAATCTCATGTATAGGAACAACGTGGGCCGATTGAGTAAATTAGATGTCGGCTAGATGAGTACCCAAAAGAGATATGGACTGAATTTGGTACAAAAATTTTTGTTAGCGTGCAGTCTTACGTACGCATGTGATCAAACGATAAATAATGGCCCATATGCTTCACTGGATTAAGAAGAGTGATTGGATATTTTTGTCCGGGTAAAAATATCTCACATTATATTTCTTTTTTTTAAAAAAAAAATTGCATTAATTCACCTTATTTATTGTCAATTATACCATGCAAAACATAAATTGTTAGATGAATTATATATTTATATTCTACAATCTACAACAGAGAGAGTACTACATAAGGAAATTATTTTGCACTCGTACTTTTCGAGCAGTAGATCGTTGGAAATATGAGTGCAAAAGATGTACTGCATAGTTGTTAGTATTTTTATGAAAATAACAACCATTATTTACTTCTTAATCATATTCCCTAAAATGTACATGCACACATGAATCTTTGGTGACCAAAGCTATAAAGTCTTCTCTATAACCATTAAGTCTCCTACGGTAAATATAAGTCATTTCAATTGAAATACTACAAATTAAACCTTTGGATTTCGGGTCTTAGTCATGATCTTTATGCACAAATGTAGGTTTTGTCTTTTCTTATTTTCTCAGTCGATAAGCACTCTTTTTAGCTTAATTTTTGAACTGCTTTGAACCACATGTAACTTGATCTTTTCGTGCAACGAACATAACTTTTCGTACCAAACGTTTTTGGCTCCAATGGGATGGAGTCGCAAGAATAACACTATCTTTTTCTTAAAAGAAAAAGGAAAAACCTCCATAAGCGACGTCTAATTTGTGGTTGTGGGCTGGCATACACCGCCATTACCGAAACCTGTCAGTCATTAGAGATAATATTAACAGAGATCAAATCATTCCATAAGAGCCATATGCCACCTGAAAACCCAACTGCTTCAATTCTATGCGAGTTCTTCAAACCAATTTTTTTAATTGTGTCGTTTGCATTAACACCACTAACTTTAAGTTCAATTAAGACAATTAAGCATCCTCCTATCCATTATCCTACTGCAATAATTCTTGCTAAGAAGAATGCCCATGTTGTGGCAATTCCACCCAGAAGGTAATGGGTCACTCTTACAGCACGTCCTTGTACAATACTCAAGGCTCTAGGCTGAGTAGTTGCTATAACTCGCATAATATGGATCACAAAAAATACGAAGGTGAACCGCAATGAAAATATACCGTATTAGAGTGAAATGAATATTGATTTTAATCTTTCGCACTTTGTTTACAATGCTACATTAAATATAGGAGTATATATAGTTTTTCCAAATATGCACTTTTTTTAAAAAAAAAATTCCATACACACTTATGACTCTTTACCCTTATCTTTAATAAGTTATAAGTTAAAGTAAATATCTTTTAAATTAATAGTTTCTTGCAATCTAATTGGTTGGACTATGGTATTGCAACATCAGTATAATCTTATATCACAATTACAACACAATTTTTAATTAGCGGCAAAAGTATAGTTATCTAAATGATTGAAAATTGATGGACTTAATTATTTGCTAGTCGAATTGGTATGCATACTACACGCATTCATTCTGGAATCCCTAAATAAGTCTCATCGGTAAACATTGGTCCGAATCAAACCCTCGGGCTCGGAATGGTAGTAGTTAACCGCTTCTTAAGTAACCGCCACCTGGCTAGAACCACCACAATGTTGGTGAGATTAACACCCACATAAGTGAACAGTGGAGTAAGAATCCCACAGGCTATAATCGCTGGAATCACTAATGGTGGCTTCATATGCCATTTAGACGATTCAGGTACTATGGATGAGAAAGAGTATCCACCAGCCACACATATAGAGCCACCTGCGACCAGAATGGCAAAGATCTCAATGAACAACATCATGGTCCGCTGAAACGGACGTTTCATCAGCACTCCACTAATCAGGTGCAACAAAATGGTGGCATTTGATGAGATCAAAGCCGTCGTGATGTAGAAAACCAGCGCATTGTACTGTTTCGGATGCGTCTGCGCCAGCACGCTCTCTCCGGCTATGTGTGGATAAGGACCATCCGATGAGTTGTCCTGCCAAACCCCTCCCGGCGGATTTATCAACGCTGTAAACGCCGCAGACGCAATGATGGAAGCCGCCACCATGATTGAGTTTCTGTTGTCTTCGAAGTTTTCTAGGTAGCTGTTCAGTCGGCTGTCTCCGGTTCGAGCGCCTGACCTGGCAAAAGATTCTCTGATTTTGCCATCTATGCTGCTTTCCTGTTCGAGAAAAAGGTCCAGTGCAGTTTTTCCAGATGCGTTCTGCAGGTTGAGAATGTAGGGCGCTTCTTCTATCAAGTGAAGTATGATTTCTTGGTTCCACATCTTATTCTGCATATAAATTTCATGAATTCTATCCATTACAATATATATATATATATATATATATATAAATTTTATTCTTTGTTACGAACAATCTACAACTGATTTCGAGGAAATATTTTATGTCCCACAAAAATAATCCGCATTGAGTTTTTAAATTTATACTAAAATTAGTGAAAATCTCAAAACTTAATGTAGATTATTTTTTTGGCACAAAGGAGTATAACAACATATTGCTTGCTCTATCAAACTAATTAGAAAAGTTAGACAGAGAGAGATGAAAGTCGAAAATGGCCAAAAATAATAAAAATACAAAAATAAAACCAGCCGAAACGTATGTGATTCTAGTCTTGTGGTGAGGCTCTAAATCGATTTTCTTTTTTCTTTTTTTCAGAGGGCTAATTATGAATTGAATCTCGTGTAGGGTTTATGGGTGTGTTAAAAAATCTTCATACATACTTATAATGAGACAAAAAGAGTATTGTACATGCATCATTGAGTTACTTACGTACCTGGTTGCGGTTATTCATTACAGCCATATGTAGTATGGTCATACCATCATTATTCTTTGCACCAACAAACTTCGGATCGGCTGAAAAAATTCGTAAGAGTAACCTCAAGGCCTCTAGTTGATTATGCTTGACACATAGATGTAAAATGGTCCCTCCGTCGTCAACCTTTTCCATAGCTGCTTTCATCATTAGCTCATGATCATCATCATCATCCACCAATTTCAAAACGTCCACCTTGCCATGGATTGCAGCAAGATGCGTAGGGTTTCTTCCGTCTCGATCCCGGGCGAAACACATGTCACGAGTGGCTGAGGAATTGAGTCGAAGAATTTCTCGCACGAATTCTTCGTGGCCAAACATTGCACTAATGTGAAGCACATTCTTATCTTCACAGTTTATGTAGCTTTCGTTGATGAGATGCGGGTCTTCTCCAAGTAATTGGGAAAGAACTGCAGTGTCACCTCGGACTGCTGCTGTACGGAGCCTGGTGTCCATGATCTTTTTTAATTCTTTATAAATTGAGGGGAAAAAAAAAAACTGTTTCCAATCAAGCAATTTATTAAAGGAAAAGAAGAACGTGACGAAATGGGATTTTTTTTAATAATTTGGACGTTAAGAAAGTGTGCAAGGAGATCTCTACTCCCCTCTTTCTATTTATTGTATAGTTTGCTCTATTATCAAAACAATAAAACAAAATGGATAACAAAATTAAAAATTAAGAATAAAAATGGATACCTTACAAATTACAATCTGATGAAGTATCGATTCTTTTCTTTTTAACATAATACTTCCTCCTGTCCTTATTATAAGACATTTTACTTTGCCCTAACTTTGACCGATGTCTTTTTAATTAAAAAAAACCTTAAAAACTTTTGCTGATATTAGTTATGTTCTCTTAATTATTAGGAAATAGTTTTAATATTTTTTTTCCAATTAGAAAGGCATCTTAGATGAAACATAAGAGAAATTAAAAATGCTTTACAATAAGAATCGGAGGGAGTATTTCGTCACGATACAGATTTGAATTGAAATTAATTTAAATTATCTCTTTGTGAATGAGAGTAACACATACGACTCGTTTTAGTAAGAATCAATATAAAGTCAGGCAGACTAGTGGACAGTATGGTAAACTACAACTGACTTTAATTGGTCCTAGAATTTTGTAGATCCTAGAATTTTGTTGACAGCTATCAATGCATGTGATGCTGCATGATGCTTTCAAAAAATAAGTACATATTTGACGATCGAGTTCATTGTGTTATATTATATGTGTAGTCAAGAAAAGAATAAAGATTGTACGGAAAGAACGAAAAAAAAAAGAATAAAGATGGAACTAAAGAATCTTGTTATTACCTATTAATTAATCAAAGTAAATGTGCCTTTTAGCTTTTTCGTTAAAAGATTCGTTTAGGTTCTGAGAACGTGAAGGATCGATCCATAACACAAGCAACGAATGATTTGCAAATGTGCAAAATGTGCAATTTCTACTAGTGCTAGAATGTGTAGTCCATTAAATCGCTGTTCTTTTACCATGCGCTATTTGCTTTCAGGGGAAAAAGATCAAATTTAAATCACGAGATTGGTTATCCTTTTTTTTTTTTTTTTAATTTTTGTTTTTTGTTTTTTGTTTTTTGTTTTGTTTTGTTTTTTTTTTTTTTTTTTGTTTTTGGTTGACATGGGTAGGATTTGGTCCGGTATCATTTTGCTTCATAACTGGGATTTGATAATAATCATCGAGGAAAACTCACTGGGATTGTAGCATATCAGTTTGAGTTGCATATGCCAACAAACCTGAAATTAATTGACATTTCAGACTTTTATTTGCCCGAGAGGACTCTTTCAGTCGTTGATAAACTATTAAACCCTTGTGTACTTAGTTTTTCTTTTACAAATAAAAAAGAAAGAAAAAAAAACTCTATGGTCTATATAGAAGAATTGAAAGGAAGGTCTCAATTACTTCCTCCGTCCCAAAATTATTGTCCAGTTTGGATTTTCATTTTTAGTTTAATTTAAACTAAAAATGAAAATCCAAACTGGACAATAATTTTGGAACAAAGGGAGTATTATTAAACTAAAAATGAAAATCCAAACTGGACAATAATTTTGGGACAAAGGGAGTATAATTTTTGGGGACGGAATAAGTGTAGTGTTTGAATAGATATGAACTATGAGCTTACGACAAGAAAGAAAACGGATTTTCTTGAAGTTTCCCGTGAAGCCATTGGCCATAGGGGGCCAAGGGGATAAATAGACAGCCTTCCCTTTTCTCTATTCATTAGAGAAGTATACATTTACCCATTTTCGCACTCCATTGCGAGAAGATGTAATATTGATAATTATGTGAATCTGCACGTTCTTTTGGCGAAATTGTTGGCCCATCCCTGGCCAAAAAGAAGCAACTCAATTAATAGTTGTGTGTTCGGTTTACTTTGTCATAATGCCAATGTCCTAAGAATATGTAATTAACAAACTGAAAATTTTTTATTGCTCCGGATCGATTGTAAGTTTGTAACTCATATGAAGATCTCAGAAGCTAAGCTTCTGACGAAGCTTGGATTTATACGGTGCTTAAGTCGGGCGGCGATGATGACCTAGGCGGCGGCAAATGGCCTAAAACCTGCAAGACAGAGCCTCGGGTATCTCCCGAGGGTAGACTCTCCGATACTTAAGTCAATAAAGGAGTAGAGATAATAGAGAGAGAAAGATGTGTATCGTGTGTAAAAGGTGTAGAAGATAGTTGGAAGATATCAATTATGAGAGAGGCACCACCTCTTTATATAGAGATGGTGTTACCTGTATCCTGAAACCTAGTCGTAATAGGTTTAGGCGGTGACTTAGCCTCCAAGGTAGCCGGCCCAAACCCATTAGGGTTAGGGTTTATTTATGACTCGTCAAGTGCCCCTAGCAAGCCATATTCTCGAGACTTGATGAGAAAAATATGAGTTGCTAAAAGTACGAGGCTGGAGTATTGACGGCTTATCGACTTCTGTAATATTACCCCAATTCTCGAACATGATGTTACTGCAAGATGAACAAAAGGGTGATGGTCGACAGAAGAAGGTCCTCGAGGGGACAAGGGTCGACAATGACGGGGTCCTTGGAAAGACAAAGGTCGACAAGGGGTGGTCCTCGGAAGGACAATGGTCGATAATGGAAGGTCTTTCCAAAGAACGATCTTCAGGAGGACAAAGGTCTATGAAAGACGGTCTCGATGAGAGACAATGGTCTATGAGAGGACGATCCTCGAATGGATGACGATCTTTAGGAGGACAAAGGTCTATGAAAAGACGGTATCGATAAGAGATAATGGTCCGTGAGAGGACGGTCCTCGAATGGATGAGTAGTCGCTGGAGAAGGGTTCTCGAGAAGACAATGATCGACAGAAGGTCCTCGGAAGGACAATGGTAGATAGGTGGTGGTCTTCTCGAAGAACATGGTGAATAGCTCGAGATTGTCGATCCTGTCATTTAACGTAACAAAGATATTGCAGTAATAACAATAATGATGACATATAGTAAGAAGATGTTCGTAAGGAATATCAGTTCAAACAGAGGATATTAGGATGATCCCTCACGTTCCTTGCCCCTAGGGTATGTCCCTGTTTGTGCCCCGAGTATGTTTTCCTCATTGAAGGGTGATAGGGTTTTACCACGAGAGGGTTGGTAATTTAAAGAACTCCTTTAATAGTGCTCAAAAAAATATCGTGATATGATAGTAATATGATAATGATATCAAATATTAAAGCATGAAAAGGTTTTAGAAGTACCTCGATCTCGTAATAAATTAATTACTCGAGAAGGTGTTACCTCGATTCAGAGAAGATGTTATGAAAGTCGAGATACATCTTCTCGAACACTTCGAATAGTAGTGTATTGCTTGAGGGATCCTTGCCCTTTCGAGGAGATGTATCTCTCGAAACTTCAATCCTCGAAATTGCCCCTTACTTTGAATGACTTGAGAGCTTATATGGATTTGCACATCAAATTGATCCGATGATCATCGTAAATCACCAATAAATTTCAGCTTCACTTCAAGAAATTATTTGGTGTGAAGACCAAACAAATCGGTCCCACTAGGCGTGCCACTTGACGAAGCTTGGATTTGTACGGTGCTTAAGTCGGGCGGCGATGATGACCTAGGCGGCGGCGAACGGCCTAAAACCTGCAAAACAGAGCCTTGGGTGTCTCTCGAGGGTAGACTCTCCGATACTTAAGTCAATAAAGGAGTTGAGAAAATAGAGAGAGAGATGTGTGTCGTGTGTAAAAGGTGTAGAAGATAGTTGGTAGATATCAATTATGAGAGAGGCATCACCTCTTTATATAGAGGTGGTGTTACCGGTTTCCTGAAACCTAGTCGTAATAGGTTTAGGCGGTGACTTAGCTTCCAAGGTAGCTGGCCCAAACCCATTAGGGTTAGGGTTTATTTATGACTTGTCAGCTTCAATATAACTGCTGCGGAATAATGATATACAGCCGTTAGGCCAAAGTTTTGTCTGTCAGTTAACTATTCTTTACAACTTGGAACCATTCTTTACTTCTTCTTCCCCTGCTGGCAATTTGTCTGCGTTAATTATAGAGAAATTGCTCGGGTGAAAAATCAAAGCGCGTTTGTTCTTTGTTCAAGAGAAACACAGGATACAAACTTTCAGTGTGCATACGAAATTCTGCAGACAAAACGCTGAAAAATTCCATTGTCAAGAAACTTAAATCATGTATGCCACAAAATTTCACACATGAACTAAGAGCCATGATTTCTTATTTTCTTAGTCATTTTTGCCCTATAGTCAATCCAAGCGCAGCTCTATCTTGTGACGAAATTTATGAAGTTATCTCCGTAATTCTTACTAGGATCTTTACTATAACTCTAAATGTAAGCCATATCAACTGAAATACATAAAAACCTTTGGATTCAGGGTCTTACTCGTCTTGTTTACATCCCACTGGCTTAGTGATTGTCAATGTAGTGTTAATTTCTCAATGAACGCATCTTTTTGTAGCTTCTGAACTGCTTTGAACCAAATACAAAATGACATCAGCAATGCCTTCTCCTTCCGTCCTTGGAAGCCATACATTTTAGAAAGGTGAGTTTGTAAATGGTTAATTTGACTGTGTGTGATATACATAACTACTTTTCAATGTTAAGTTGTACTCCCTCCGGTCTTTATTATAATATATTTTGATTTCTCTTAAAGTTCATTTATTGTGTTCTTCCAATTGAATTAAAAGTTAAAAAATATATTTTCACCAATTGCAATAAAATATCTTTAAGGTTCTATTATCAATTAGAAAAATAAAAAAATGAAACTTAGAACAAATAAAAAATGCAGTATAACAAGGACTAATTGTGGAATTAATTCTACTAATGATTGTCAGCAACAATTTTGATTTGTTCAAAATTTCATTTATTGCGTTCTTTCAATTGCCCGGTGAATTTCTTCCTTTCTTCAACGGGAAAACACAAAGCTGCCGCCACCTTGTTGTTCTTGTTTCCGTCACTTCCTCACACGATTGGTCAGGATTTTTTCTTAATCGTGATTGTAGATATGAGTAGTGGAGTCTCTTTAAGGTATAAGATTTTTCCTCCGTCCGCTCCATTGTGACTGGGATT